ACCCTAACCCTAACCCTAACCCTAACCCTAACCCTAACCCTAACCCTAACCCTAACCCTAACCCTAACCCTAACCCTAACCCTAACCCTAACCCTGCCCTCCGACCACTGACGGGTTGCCCTCCGGGTCCGCGACTGCGTCGCTTTTCCACCCCGCCTTCTCCCCCCGCCGTGCCCTCCGCGTCGCTCACCCTCGGACGCTTAAAAACCCGCTCACCGGGGACGCCCTTCGCGCCCGGGTTCCGCCCCGCCCGACCCGCCGAAACTCTTAACGTAGGGGTAAATTTCACATTACGTGATCTCACCCGTGATCCCCGCCGACCTCTCGCCGCCCCGCCTCGCCGGGGGTATTCCTTCCCCGGTTCTCTCGGGGTTTCTCCGAGTCTCCTTTCTGTCTCGGTCCGTCACCTAACTCCTCTCGCCCTAACCCCGCCGCCCGGTATAACTCACCGGGTTCCCTCGGTAGTCCTTCCTAACCTCCTTCCTCTCTTTATTAACTTCTAACTCTAACTCTATACTACTAGTTCCCCTTCCCTTAGATCGCCCCGTACTAACCCGCCGAACTCCCTAATTTCTTATCTCTTCGCTACCCCGTTGAGTATATCGTTAGATTTCAAAAATCTCAAAAATCTTAAGTTAAACTCTAGCGAAATTCTATCTCTCTACGAATCTCCTATTCTATCTCTCTATATTTTATTATTCTTTTCTCTTTTCTCTTACTCTTTATAAGAGATAATTAACTTCTTATCTTCACTATATCGCGAGAACTCTATAAATCTAATTATAAATTATCTAACCTTTCTTCGCCGTTACCGAAATCTTAAAGTGATATTCGTTCTCTCTTCTTAATCTCTTTTCTTATAAAAACTATCTTTATCCTTACTAAATCTATCTAACTCGACGACCCGAATATTCTTTTCTAATTTACTACTATCTTCTTATTTACTCTATTATTATAGTAATATTATTTATATCTCTATTATTATATATCTTTCTTAACTTATTGACTCTATTATCTCTTTCTTCTCTATTTACTTCTAATATTATTTAGGGCTTATTATCTAATCTCTAGATTTTTATTATCTTATTACTTACTTATATAGTATTAACTTCGATATTCCTTCTATCTCTATTATCTATTACTCTATTAACTATCTAACTCTATTCTATTATAACTAGTAATTTATATAAAGTAATTTATTATCTCGGACGATATTATTTAGTGGTAACTTTAATTATATTATACTTTAACTCTCTATATTACTTAAGTATTATAAATATATAACTCTAATCTTTCTACTCATCTAGAACTCTTAATATAATACGATCTTCTTCTTTTTTTTTAGCTACGTTCTCTATAAATCTTACTATTCTTATTCTTATAATTCTATTCGTCTATTCTCTCCGTTAAGTTAGCCCTAACCCTAACTCTACGATTATTTCTTATTATTCGCTATTCTATAATATTTTCTCTTAACACTAATATTTTAATATTTATTCTCTAATAGTAACTCTTTTAAATCGTTCTCTTTCTCTATACTTAATCTTCTCTCTCTTATTTTATTATTAAACTTATTTAATCTTCTTCTCTATAACTTAAGTCTAATATTTAACTATACTTAAATATATCTCTCTATATACCCTTTTATCTTTACTCATTATAGACTCGGCGATACTTAATTCATTTTATATTATATTCTAAATATTTAACTTTTTAATTTTACTTTATCGAATATCGCTTCTATATATCTAGCACTTTAAGTTAATCTCTCTTTATACTATCGTCTTACTCTATAATCTCTATATAAAATCTTATCTCTATTATCGTCTACTATCTATCTATATCTTTACTTAACTTACTTTAGATAATTTACGGATCTAAATTCTTTATTCTCCTTTATATCTTATCTAAATATTATATTCTCTTCGTTCCTTGAGATTATCTCTTAACTTCTAATATTTCTTTAATCTATTTAATAACTCTAACTAAATTCCGATTATTATATTCTTAATCTTCCTTAACCCTTCCTTACTTCTTCTACTATTATCTCTATTACTATAATTATCTCTATATTAATCCTCACTATATAACTCTTAATTCTTCTACTATTATCGTTATTACTATTACTATTAATTCTCCTCCTCCTTCTTCTCTTCCTCCTCCTCCTCCTTCTTCTTCTTCTCCTCCTTCCTAAGATAGAGATCTAGTTTCTCTCTTAACTTAAGCTATAAATTCTATAAAGTTATATATATATAACTAAGTACTATATAATATTCTTACTCTACGCTTCGCCTTCGTCCGTAAACCCATCATCTTTATAATTCCCTTCGTCACCACTTTCGTCATCTATACTCTCGGACTGAGTTCGTCGAATAAATTGAATCATCCGGAGTAAGACGGCTATACTATTACTTATATTCTGGCCCTAGATCCGTTGAAAGTGCCGCTGACCGAGTCATTGACTATATGCCGAAATGTCTTGATACTCGGCCTAATATCCCGCGATCTGGATCTCCTGGAAGCCGGACTCACTCTGCATCGCGCTGAATAAGACGGGCGCCATTACACCGGGCCACTAATACGCTCGGGAGACATCGGTCTAAGTCGCATAGAGAGACTGGCTAATTCCACACCGATGACACGTGTGACTATCTAGACTATAGCTAATGTGCCCGCGAAATCGCTCTACGTCGGAACGGTTCCATTGAGTCCACGGATAATCTTGGGTCCTATGCCCGTAGACGGCCCGGTCACGCTCTCGACTCGCGAGCCAATAGTAAGTATAACCGATCGTCATCTCGCCGAGTGCCTCTTCTACGAACTGCCGCTCCCGTTCGTCCTGTTGCGTCCGTAAACGCATCTCGTGCTCGCCTTCGTCATAGTGGTCACAGCGTATCCATTCGGGGTCATCTAAGTATGATCGCGTTAGCACGGGTCCGTCGAGATACTCGCTCATGATATATCGACGGCACGTGGCGCCGTGGATGAACCTCGCCATTACTTCGGCCTCGACGGAGAGATGGCGACGCTGTAAGCGAATCTCGGCGGCTCGTTGCGTCACGAGAATCAGCGAATTCACGGTCTCGCCGGCCCGTCCACCACGTTCACTCTCCTGCGCAAAGTTAATCATACTCTATGGAATGTCGATGTGTAGAATAAAGACGATTCCGCGGATGTCGACCCCGGTGCTGAGTGCGGACGTGGCCACGATGAGACCGCCTCGCTGGACTCAGCGCTCGAGTCGCTCGGCGCGGTTAACCTCGTCGGCGTGGTAGTGGGCACAGTTAAGTGTCGCGGCCATCTTCTCGCATTGCATCCGTGACAAATAGTACACGACGCCTTTCTACTGAGAACGAAGTAAATGTTCTTGTTGTCGACGGCAAACGTCGAGAGCTTCCTACTTAAGCTCGCCGGGACGGCATTGCTGAACACAATAACGATGGCGTGGTCGGATGGTGGACGCGCGAATAATGCGGCTGAGTCGAACCGCTATGCTCTCTTCCAACTTAAAGACACGACGGGGTGGTAATGTGGCGGTGAGTAAGTATGTCGGACACTCGAAACTACGAACGTGCCGTAGTCGAGATAACTTCACTCGTTAGTGACTGTCGGTGAACGTCGTGTGGCATTCGTCGATGAATACACGACGTAAAAGCCGGCTGTTCCGTAACGTCTGACAGTATGTGCTGAAGCTCGATGTGACGGTAGTGTCGGCGCTGATAATCACTAAGCGTGCCGGATTACTTTCGCCGGGATGCCACTCAAAACAATCGATATTAACGACACGAAAGCGACGGACAACATCATCCACGAGTGCCCGAAATGGTGCGATAAAGATACTGACCCCGCGCTCTTTAAGCATGATCGGTAACATGGCCAGTAATGTTTTCCCACCACCCGTGGGGAGTACGATAGTCACGGGAGTTTCGGCCCTCAACACGGCCCGGATACCTTCCTCCTGTTCGCGAGAATGAAACCTAACCGGTCCGTCGCCGAATAATCGATGCATGGCTCGCTCGATGTCGTCGGTGGACGCGACGATGGGCACAGCTGGGGCGGACTGCCGAGACGCCGGTGGTAGTTGCGAACTAAATGTCGTCTCGATTGGCCCATTCGGCTTCGATGTTGGCGCCGTATTAAACAATCTACGTCACTGGGGGCGTTGTTTCTCGGCAGAAACCTCCCACGACTGGCGACTATGTCGTTTATGGTTGATCACTCGGCCGTGGGAACCGGACGCGGGAGCGATGGGTGGTGGCCGAGAGAGTGTGACGAGCGGCTGAGCCGATAATTGCGGATTCACACTGCTTAACCCGAGAAATCGATGCTAATCTTCACTCAACGGCCGAAATGTGTCGATCGAGCGGACACTTAAATGCTTAATAATGTCCGCGGGCACGGTATACCGCGACGTACTCATCGCTTTAGTGCGACTACTCTGGAGCTCGATGGGATCCTCACCCTCTCGCTCGGGTTCTTCGATCTCCTTAGTCTCGTCTTTGTGCCCCTAACTAAACTGCTCACTCACGACCCGTCGTTCAATTCCGATGGTGATGTGTCGAAAATCGAGCGTGTTGAAACGGTGTCTCAATTCGAGAGCGGTCTCCCGCTTGATAACTCGAGTTAAGTGGTCTGTCTCCCACGGCCCCTTGTCGTCGTGCTAAAGATGGTCACTGGGATCGAGATTCTGCGTCTCACTCAATAAGACCTCGCGAAATGGCTGAACGTACGCTAAGTAGATCACCAGTAATTGATCCACTCGCTATGGCACGAAGCGTGGGATCACCTTGGGTGTGTTAAATAATTGCTAAGACTTATGGTAGCGCGTGATAATGCAAGTACTCCCGTCGATGATGAAGAAATTGCGGTCGGCCAACGCACCGTTGCGAAACCGAATGGCCGTGATTTCCGTGCCACGACTGACGGGTTCGTAACTGGAGTGGGTAGCAAATAGCCCTCGCTGGTCGAAAGACGTCGCTTGTTGGAGCCATCGCCGCACCGCACGTAGATTCTACGTCCCGTCCGCTCGAAGTAAACGTCGCTTGCCGCGTTGGATGCTCATCTTCGCCGCCATCCAGTTATAGCCATTCTCGAGATGGTTACTCTCGCGTTTTAAGAATGACTAGCCGCGACGGGTGAATGAGAGATCGTCCTCGAGCATATCTAAGTCGACGGTGAACCGTTGTGAAACGTCTTTCGTCTACATTAACTCTCGCCAAAGTATGTTCTCTGCGCGTTCGATGTTACTGACGACCATGGAGCGGAATAGACTAAGTACGATGGTCAGTTCGTGAAAGTAGATCGTGGTGGAGTCCCGGGACCACGTAATACTATTCGCATTGCTCGTGTTGAGTGCGATATACTTACCGTACGTAAGTAGATTAATTAGTTCACTTATGGGACAACTACATCCATCCGCGAGATACGCTTGTCGATGGCGCTGGAACCTCAGCCGTCGCTCCTGACTATCGGGGAAGTTCTCACGTTGATGTGCGGGCAATAAGATCTCGGCCGCCAATACTCGGAGCGACCACACCAATCCAGCCACAACGTATGAAAAGTTCACGGCCTCTCTTAATCGACGATTCTCCTCGTTAATTCCTAGTATGGCAATAAAATGGATGAGCCCGCTTTTAAACGGCTCGCCGCCAATGTGGTGAAATAGAAACTGCTGTAAAAACACCTGGAGAGCTTTAATCTTACTAGCCTCACTAACTACGCGACCTCGTGCCTCATCATCATTAAACGTACAGATAGATTTAACTATATTTGATGTCGCCGAAAACTGGGCCTGCGTCCACGGGAATAATTCGCGAGCGTCCTTCATTACATCTATTTCCTCGTCCGAGTAACCGAGAGTGGTCGTACTCGTTGGGGTACCGTCATGATCATGGTGTTCGTCATTACTATTGTCGTTGGAATCTAATTCATAATCGCTATCGTTAGTATCATTGTCGTTCTCACGGGTCTCGTCAAATCCGAGCGTCGTAAAAACATTCGGCCGTGCACCGTGAAATGTATTGTTGACGAGAGCATTCGAAGTCACGGTATTGTCTAAAGTGATATCGGTGGCGGAAGATATATGGAGAGAATCCGACGTGCTCGTGGAAATGCCGGCGCCCCGTTGTCTCTCGGAATCCCAGACACGGTAAGTATAGCAAATGAACCGCCGAATATACGAAAAATATCGATCCTCGCTGTCGGCATTTTGAAGTCGATTGAATGGTCGTGCAGAGATGACAGTAGCTTGCTCACTACGGAGCTAACGACGAGATTTATGATCGAGTGTGTTAATCCCCTCGGCCGACTGGGTGGCGAGCGTATTAAACGCCTTCAAAATCTCGTGCAACACGGGCTCATTCTTCTCGGGCATTCGACTGGCCCACGCGAGATAGACGAGATTCCGGTCTCGAAAATGATCTTGCTACTTCGTTCGATTGTACTAATCTATGCGGTCTTGTTTTAATACGTGAGCGTCGAGTCGCTCCATCTTGGCCTCGTGAGAAGCGTTTAGTGCGAACCGCTTCTCCCTCATCCGCTGAACGATGGCCTGTGAGCTGGGATTGCGTGCAAGATCGATTGCCGGTGTGCTAAGACCGGAACTAGACGCGGTGTGACCCCTATGGATCTCTCGTGCACTTCGGACACTTGATGGGCCGGTGGTGGGTGTGGCTGTGGATGGCGTATCGGGGCCGACACGTACCACGAAGTATTTTCGCAGACCACCGGAAATAAAGAACGTCTGGGCGAAAATAAAGCGCCAGAAGACGGGCTGCTCCTCGGTTTTCTTCCATTGATGACTATTTCGAGCGTGTTGTTCAATACCTTTTATATGGCTACTGACGACGCCACAATGGGGTCCGGCGCACGAAAAAGCCGGGATGGGTGCTGTGAGACCTTCGACCGAGGGGATATGTCGCGGTGGGAGTCCAACACTTTCTGGAGGAACGTAGATATCGTCTACATGAGCGGTAATAATTCTCTTTCGCCGCTTAAGACTGAGATCTCGGTGTTCGTTACGAAGATGTGTCTCTAGAGACGAAACGGTATATCCGTGGACGGTGCAGATTAAGATTCGATACTGCTCGTTGTAAATAATGGGATCTGAGAGCGGTTCATGATACTCTCGATGTCGAGCGACCGCACGGCTGAACATTGTTGATCGAGATCTACACCATGAATGTAAGAGCAGAGAGATTGAGAGAGAAATGCTATAGCGGTGAGTGATGCGCACGGATTTGGCGATGCGGCTCTGCCTTACTGGCTGCACCTAACCCACCGACGTGTACCCCATCAATTTTATAGCTCAACGACCATACATCGCCTGATGGTGTAATTAGCTACGATCGATAGTCCTCGACGAGGGTATTCTAGTGATACTATTATTGCCTTCATCCAACCACCCGGCGCGGATGCAGAAGAAAGTAAACCTGGAGAGTAATCCTGCAGAGATCTCCGGATCCTAGCTACCTAATTGGTCTATTCCTAGCGCCTTGGTAGTAATTCTGCTAGCATTCCCAGGTCCTCTTGGATAGGGCGCCGACCCTAGACTATAGTTCTTCTTATATAGTTCTAGGAGACTATCTTTTATAGACAACATAAGCAACTAAGTTACCAACAGAGAGAACTTCCTCTAGTTAAGCGTACGCGTTGAGAAGAGACTATACTCACCGCCGTACGAGTTAATGCCCATGGCTAGTAGCCTCGCCCTAGTTTAATGGTGCCACCAATAAGATCTTCGGCGAATACTTATAGATGAGTGTCTCTCTACGAGCGATGAAAGAAAATTACGAAAAATAACTAAACTAAACTACTTACTGAACCAATAGAACTAAAGAACTACCTACCTATCTGTCTAACTAAATCTAGAGAAACTAGCCATATATACAGAACCGCTGCGCAGGGTATACCATTTAGATCACTAGCTAAGCAAGTCTATCCCGCTGTACGGAGCGGTTTACGCTGACTATTCATGGAGACCGCTACTCGGGGTGCCTTTTAGAATTACTAGCTATATATATTTACTACCACTATATAGGGTGGAGACCAACGACTTAACGACTATTTAGACTACCTAGAAGAAATAGAAGAGAAGTATCTTCTAGAAATATAGGAATACGTTTAACCCTAAAAACTCCTAACTTAAGAAGCTTAGGAGGAGTCGAAGAACGCGGATCTACTTAAGAAATGATAAAAATGAGCGGTTAGACTAGACTCGCTAAAATAAGCGAAGTTAAAGCGCTACTAACCGAGAAGTGAATCTAAGATTTTAATGAAAATTACTAGTGAAGATAAAAAAGAAGCTCGACGAGAAAGTCGGTGAAGAGATAAAGAGAAGAAGAGAAAAAATAATAATAAAAGTGCTAAAAACAATAAAATATCTAGATCTTTTAGTTTCGCCATTAAGATTTTACACTATTTCGATTATAAGAGAAGAAGTAAGAATAATTTAATAAAGAAAAATATCGTCTACGAAAGGATCGAATAGTAAAGAAAAGCTAGGACCTCCTACGATGTCGAGTATTAGCTCATAAGATCTATCGACGCTAAATTCGACGATATAACCGTTATACGTCCCTCCTACCGTAATATTAATGAGGAAAATGCCTTAGAGCTTAAACGAAAGTGATAATCTTCTATACTTTAATGAAAAGAACGCTATCTCTTTCTTCGAGGAGTTTAAAGAACTATATAAATATAACTAGATTATATTAAGCGGAGAACGTATCCGTAGGTCTGTTCGCTTTATATTTAAAGAAGAGAAAGAACGCTATAAAGAGCTCGCTAAGTATAACGTAATGAAGTAAGAAAAGTTTAAAGAGAAGATCTTAAATAAATATAAAGATCGGGACGAAGTGTAGCGAATAATAAGTATTTAATATCTTTAGACACTCGCGAAGCATCGACGAAAGAAGTCTTAAAGCCTAGAGCTATACCTCCGTTAATTTCGTAAGGCTACGACTCACCTAATTAAAACCGAAGCCGAGATTAATTATACTTACTATCGCCTTCTTTTATTAGAATTACTAAAGACTTATATAGATAAGATTCGAAAGAAATAGAATTTAATGAATCGAAAGCTGAAGAATTCGAACTTTTAGAAATACTGAAATTAGGTAAAAGAACTATAGAATATTAATAATAAAAATAAGAAATTTACGTAAGGAGTACTCGACGAGAAGTTCTAAGAACTAGCGTATGAAAGGAAGACTCAACCCTCAGCCGTTCGAAAGAAAGAATCGTAAGAATAACGTCGTCGTGACGACCGCACGGATAGTAAAACGAAGTCCGATAAGAATGCTCCGTCGCTGGTAAATCGACCTCCTACTCCTAAGAGAAATAACTAATCGGTGAAGGAATTATCTCGTTTAATGGGAGCACTAACACTGCCGATCTAGACGCGAGACGCTATTACTCTAGACTTTATAACTCGACTAATTAAGGCATTGAAAGGTATTCCTTAGGAAGCGATCTAGCCCTTACGCGAATAGCAGTCCTAGAATCGTTCGGTTCGATTCGGAGAAACGCCGTAGTACTACGGTAGATAGCTAAGTCGACGGAGTTCGAACTTAAGTAATTCTAAAGGAAATTACTTTCTTTATAATTAGCCGGGATACGTACTACGAGATAATCCTTAGTGAGTATACTAGAAAGTAATGAAAGCGTTATATCTTAATCCGAAATATAGAATCGCTCTTAGAAAGTTCCGAGATTAAGATCGTTCTTCATCTACTCTACTAATTTTCACGAGAAAGATAAAGATAGAAAGATTAGAATGAGTTACGCGAGAGATCGATAAGAATTTAGAAGTTACGTCCAAATGACCTTATAATATACGAGACTCTAATCCTACGCCACTAGAAGCGAGATTAAGTATCGTTTACGTAGCCGAATCGAGATTTAATTACGCTACTCTAAACGACTCTAAAGATAATTTCCGTATCTCGAATACTATAGATCTAAAAGGAATTCGTGTAGATTAGCCCTAGAGTAAAGCTTACGTAGATGCCCTAGGAAAGCGCCTAGCTCCTTAATAAGACGAATATACGTAAGCGAAATATCCTTAGATTAGGGCTTACGAACCTCCGGTAGAAGAATCGAGACGATATATAACGCGACGAGCGAGATCTAATAAAGAAATTATATATAACGGGATCGTAGATGATTCGCTAGGTCCGATTAGCTTAACTAATTAGAGGTCGAGAATTTCCCTATACAATATATAGAATGAGCGGTTACGTAACCCGACCTCCTAGAATACTATAATGAGAGATTCACTAGGGCCCTCCTAGTCCCGTTAGGTATTATTACGTCCCCGGACTATAAAAGAGACTACGTACGAACTACCTAGGCCTAGGCCTCTTCGAAAGATATTATCATAGAATCTAAATAGTGCCGGAAAGATCGTAAATCACCTATTAAACTAAGAGATCTTAATTCGAATAGAGAACTTACTGTCGATAAAGAAGGTTCGGGACGAGTAATTCTTCCGTAAACATTAGCATTACGACGAAGATAAGTAAGAGCCCGTTCATTAGGGCTATACCCCGAGAGATAGCGGCGTAAGACTCACGTAAGCGAAAGGGAAATCTACTACTAAAGTCGGTACGATGTAAATAAATCCATTAGTAGATCGCCCGATCCGCCTAAGGCTATACTATAGTGAGTGCCCCTATCTATCTATAAAGATAAGAGATCGATATAAAGACTCCTTACTAGATACTAAAGCCGAGATTAACCTAATAATCTTCGCCCTAGTTAAAGAGATAGAACTATCTTAATACATACGAAAAGCTAAGTTCATTCACGACGCCGTAGGCTTTAACGACGACCGAGAAAAGTTTATAGAGATGATTAAAGATTTTATAGTTAGTATCGCTAAGATCGAGGTCTTAATAAATGTCTATATAACGAATGCTATAGACCTAACGTATCGTTTCATCTTAGGAAGACTATTTTAGAAGGTAGTTTAAGGATTAGTCTAGGAAAAGGACGAGAATACTTACATTGTAGATTTAACGAATAGCTACGTCGATAAGAGAGTATAAATAGTCGTACAGACTACTTCTAACTTCGATGAAGATCGAGATATATCTACGATATTCGAGCTTATACACTTAGCCCCTTTAAAAGGCTAGGCGAGTATAAGACGATAAAGAAGCCCGTACTCGCGTTAATAAGGGCTCAGAAGAAATCTAGGACGCTAGCTCTCGACTTTAAGATAGACTAGAACGATAATCTAATCTCGGTAACGAATCCTTTCGTAATGAGCGACGACGACCTCTAGAAGCTATAGTTCTTAGCTAAATCTTTCGACGTATAGAATAATAAGTAATTCGTAAGATCGTCGAGACTAGTTAACGACGAAGCCTTAAGATAAGATCTAGAAAATGAATAGCGATATAAACGTCTTAGATCTAAGCGGCCGTTAGAAGCTCGAATTAATATTCTCTATAAGAGAAAAGCTAATAAGGTGAAGCCTATAAATACCGATCGATAGAATGGCTCAACACCCGAAGAATTACTAAACTAGAGAGTAAAGGCCATTACGAAGAAATAAGCTACGTTTAACGAACGACCGTACCGATTCTCTAAATAAATACACTCTAGACTTATAATATTTTCTCACGAGAAACGTCTAACACCGGAGCGCCTAGAAAAGCTAATTATCGGACCTAACTTAACACTTCTTAAGAAGAAAGTCTTAGTGAAAATTCTATATAATCGGAAAGGCGCTTTAGCCTAGAACATCGAAGAGATTAGAAGAATTTATCACGATATAGCGCCGCCTTAGGTGATTCGAACTATACCGTATATCCCATAGTAGGCGAAGAGTTTCCTAGTCCCTAAGGCACTTAAGTCGATCGTAATTAAGCTAATTAAGAATAAGATTTAGTCGCGTCTCTTCGAGTTTAGTTATGGCTCGTATAGAAACCCCTTCTTTCTAGTTAAAAAGAAAAAGCCTAGAGAATACCGACTAGTAATTACTGCTTAGAACATTAATTCGGTGATAATAAGGGACGCTAACTTATCTCCTTCTTCGAACGACTTTACTGAAGAATTTTTAGGGATATAAATAACTTCTCTTCTAGACTAGCTTTCCGAATACGATTAAATAGAGCTCGTAAAGGAGAGCCGAGATCTTACGGGCATTTA